TAACAAACTTCTGTTGGCCATGCAACTGACTGAAATAGACCGCCTGAAATCCATAGGAAGGCGTAAAGGGTTTTTGAGTAGAAATGAAAATATTCGGTCACATAACCGAAAAGGAAGACCTGAAAAACAGTGAATGATGATGGGACAGTGGGTTCTGGGGCTAAGGCAACTGAGTGGGGGCACGGGATGAATCGACTGAGTGTACTCGTCTGCTCCTTCTCACCAAGAGTGATGAACTTAATGGTACCTTCCTAGCTTCAGCACTAAAAAAGCCAGGCGCAAGAGAAGACAAGACCTAGGGCCCCTGATCTTCCCTCCCCGACTAGTTTAGCCCTCGTGTTTTTCAAAACCATCAGTGCAGTAAAAACAACAAAATCCAATCACAAGTGGGCGGAGCGAGTTGTGAAGGAGGGGGAGAGCGTGTCTCTCAAAAAGTAAGGCACACATGGCATACCATTACAGCACACGTGAGGAGCACTGGCGCCACTGGGAAGTAAGGCTTCGAATCCCTACAGCACTAACTCACATATACTTTTATCTATGTTTACATGATGGGACGCTAAAAATGAATTTACAGTCAGACAGGACATGTGCATAACTCGGGAGACGAAGTAGCTTCAATTGATATGGGATCACGCCTACTATAGGGTTTACTTGCACGGAGCCATGCCATTCATATCTTACATATATCCATAACCACTTCAAAGAAAGTGCTATTCAAGCAATGTAGGAGGCAGATGACAGCCCGGCGCAGTTCGACGAGTGAGAGGTGGAGGAAGGGCATTTTGCTGTTGTGTTCATTGCTTTACAAGAGCTGGCTACTAATTTCTACAAACTTTGACTGCGATCACTTCACGACTTCACTGGATTTCACAAATCTCTATTTGATGGCTCGACACGATAACGTGAAGCGGCAAACGTGCAAAATACCCCCTCCCCGCCCTCCTCCGTTGCCGAACTGCGCCAAGTTGGAAAGCAACAGTTCTAAAAATACCGTGGAAAACAAAACAAAGTTCAGATGACTCACTGCAATCGCTGATAACCACATTCCAATCGATAAACAACACGAGGATTGTAACGATCTCCCAGTATACCACCTCCAAACAGACCCTTCAACCATAAAATTCAGAACTTCGTGTGTGCGCACCGTGATCTATAAGTCTAGGATTGAACACGGTCCTCGCGACATACTTCATACCCTAGTTTGATAGCAACTGTTACGAGCTAGAACTTACCACAGAGTATGCGAAAAGGAATCCACCGTCCAGCATTGCAAGAAACTCAGATGCTGCTTGATCGGTAGGAAAAAGCGGAGGTCTGGAATAAAATTTCAAACATTATCAGAGGTCCAATTGTTCGAACGAAGAGCTTCTCCGTTGGATCATTTGCCAAACATAAAGAGTAAATTTTCAATAATCAAGTATTTCAGGTCATCTATCACAAGTAAAGTCCAGCAATAAGAAGCTCTAGAGCGCCGAGTGGCCCGTGCCTCTACGGGGCATTTCGTAAATCATGGGCAAAGTAAAAACAAAAGCAAAAAAAATATCGAATAGCGCATAATGAAACACAAAATGCCTCTTGTAGCAATTCAAGTCCGAGATGGAACGCGCTCACACTCTTCGGCCAGCGTTTTTGAGCGACTAGAAAAGATGATATCCATCCAGCGTTGCGAACGGTAATCGTCGTTATCTATACATCTTAGTCGCTAAGAACGCAGGCAGGCGCTCAAAACGCTAGGTCGATACCTATGCTTTCCCAGTCGCTCACAACGCTGACGCAAAGTATGAACGCACCTGGTAACGTGACGCAAAGTATGAACGCACTCCCAGCTCCCCAATACTCCAAGCCACACAGTGATACGTTGCCGGCTTCAACAAGGTTCTTTACAAAGCCAATCAGAATATTTGCGAGACAGAATTCCTGACACTGTCTTTTTTCTTTAATAAAACACTTGTCGAGACGACTATGGCTCATGATCATTTTCATAATCAGCTGTAGCAGAAAGAATGAACATTATGAGATGAAAAAATCAAAAAGGGTTGAGCATATTTTCTCAAAAACTCACTTGGTAGAAGTACCATGAGTCCATGTCGCAATCATAGATGGCTTCACAGTGGATAACGTTTTCCTGGCCGCGTGTATCAGAGCAAAACTGAAGGAGTAAAGTTATAGGTTTGCCGGTAGCAGTCAACTGCATAAACTTTTCGACAAGATTAGGAGGAAACAGGGTTCACATCTGGTGCGCGACCTTCTCAACTTAGCACCAGATGCGTGGCGCATTCCTGAGGGATGGGTCAACCAGCGCTTCATTCAATACCTGATTCGATGGACAAGGAACAGAGCTCACCTGAAAAACGTGATGACGAACGTTCTGAGATGATGAATAGTCCAAGTATCACCGCCTGTGATAAATTGTATGAACCGGGCAGAAATTGAAACACGATTGAGTGGTTCCGTATTTCGAAGGCGTACTCGTGGCATGTCTCCTGTACCCATGAAGACATTATAACTGAGTTTTTTAATACACAACAAGCAAAAAAAAAACTCGCAGATGTGGGGAACACAGAAATAAAAAGTGTTGTCGTAAAAAGGCGCGGCAGCCGTGATTGCAGAACGTGCATTATACTGTAGCATGAGAACCAGA